GGACACTTGCACAGAAAATCCAAATAAGAGCTATTGAGAGTAAAAAGCTAAATGTTTGATATTAAACAACCACAAGAACACTAGGGGGTCTGTGGTGAAACATAATTTCTACTAACTCTGGTGTGGACAAAGTGAACAAACCCCTTGTTTGCAAGGATCAGCATAGCATACTACTACTGGTGCTGGACATTAATTTTCCATAGTAGAACTGTAGAAGGGAAAATATAACATTGAAAATGAAAAGTACAAGATTCAGTGAAACATCTGTACAGAAGAGGCAATGCAGCTAAAATATCTGGCATCATCTACACGGGAGGTATATTGGAGAAGGAGAAACCTTTATATCCCTTGTATGCATAGTATGCGATCCGTGTATGATAGAACCCAAGAATAAACAAAACGGCACCAAGTATTGTAAAGAAAAGCCCTGCCACATCAAAGAAAGAAAGTGAATAATAAAGCTTAACAACAGATATAGAAGGCCAATTATTCAGTAAATGCAATTGAGTACTCTTTGAATAGGAATCCATTTCTTTTTCTGAAAGATCCTGGTTTTCATTCTTTAATGATTGATAAATTCAACTTAAATCTAATTCAACAAATTAGAAAGAAGAATATTTACGGTAATTCTTCTGCAAAGCTTATAAGGTAAGGGAGGTATTCAAATCAGAAGTTTAGCTCCTAATCCTTAGTGATATTATTTCCAAAACATAATAACCTATGCATATTGCAACGTCCCTGATCGTTGAAATCCTCATAAGGATTCCACTATCCATCTCTCGTAGTAATGAAAAGTATTTTCAATTTCAACAGCATCCCTATGTTGTTGATAAATTAGATATTATCACAAACCATATAGATCTCTGCTAGGTGATTTTGAAAGTGATCCCCCATCTCCTCGAGGATTATCCATCTATCCTGGTGAAGAAAAGCATTTTACCGCATCCATTTGGATGTTCATAAATGGTACATTGTCTACAAACTGTCCTCTCTTCCAGAGGATTATTCAAAGAGACCACCTATCTCAATTTCAGTTCAGTAGTAGAAGACTAGGAGGTTGATTTATAACAGTACAGTATCTCCATCCAGCCAAGAGGATTATTGAAAGAAATAACTCATCTCCATTTCAGTTCATTCTTTGTGGTGAAGTTTAGTTCAATTCTTAATTACCAGACTTAACTGTACGTTCACCATTCGAAAGTTGAACCTGTTCTTCTGACTCTGATTTTGGAATGCTAGCAAGTCGAAATCTTTCTATTTTTGAAAGATTTCAACTTTCAACTAGATCAACTAACATCTAGCGAAGACATCTTTTCCTAATCTCTTATCTCACATTAGAGCATAATAATTTAATCCTCGTCTACATTCAATTGAAACTCCTCATGCCTTTGCATACTTGGTATGAATTAAACCCAAATGGAGCTCCTTTATGTAAACCTAGAAATGCTG